TTAATTTTTTTTTTTTTTTTTTTTTTTTTTTGGTACTGGGGATTGAACTCGGGTCCTTGCGTTTGCAAGGCAGGCCACCGAACCGCTGAGCTAAATCCCTGGCCCTCTGTGTTTAATTTTGAGAAATTTCCAAACTGTCCTCCACAGTGGCTGTGCCATTTTACATTCCTATCAGCAGTGCACAAGAGTTCCAATTTCTCTACATCTTTGACAACACTGTTATTTTGTGTATTGGATGATGGCCATCCTAACAGATATGAAGTAGTATTGTGGTTTTCAGAAGTTTATTTTTATACATGTAAATGTTGTTACATACACATATCTAGCATGTGGAATTAAGGCCAATGTAAAATACTTCACTTTGTGAAGTGTTTTATTATGAGAATGAGAAACATATTTGTTATATTGATTTTCAAGACACAACTCTGAAAATTCAAGGATTAAATAATGAAACACCTTAAATTTCTATATTGGTTTGCTTCATATTTTTATAGCAGAATATCTAATATAATCAGTTTATCAGGAGAAAAGGCTTATCTTGGCTTTTAGTTTTGGTGATTCCCGTCTGTGATTGATGGCTGTGTGGCTTTGGGCCTGTGATGAGGTAGCGAATGGTGGGAGCATATGGCAAAGCAGAAGCCTTCACCTCACGGCAGAAAGCCAAAAAGAGGATTTGGAAGGGCCTGGGGTTACAGTGTCCCCTTCAAGGGCACGCCCCCACTGAATGAGAGACTTCCCTCTAGCCCCACCTTTTAAAGGAGACACCACCTCCCAGTAGTGCCTCCCTGGGGCCAGACCTTTGACACACGAGCCTTTGGGACATTCAAGATCCAAACCATAGCAGTTATAATTATTAAAGCCTGAGCATATCATTAAAGCACTATTATCAATTTCAGTAATTCATTTCATAAGTTCTTGTACTTACATTTTAGTAACAGGAACATTTAGTGGGGAAATTAGAATTTACCGATACCATTTATATGACTTCTTAAAATTATGAAACTGAGACAGGATCCTGTTAGCTCAGCTTATACGGAATTGGGGCCGAGCACCTTTCATGCCACTACTCTTGATTTTTTTCTTAAGCTGATATCATAATGGGGAGAATGCTTTTTGCATTTTTTAACAAGATAGTTGGAAGATGTTTTTCTACTTGAAAATATTCTTAGTTTGTAAATGTATAAGTTTGGCACTGAAGTTTTAGAATGACTGGCAGTACTGTGAGGAATGAGAGTGGAAGATGAGATGGAGGAGATTGGTAGCATAATATCAGTTAGCATTTGAATGTAATTTGGTTTAATAATGCATATTTTGTGAGAGTCTAGGACCTGGACGTACAGACTTAGCTCTGGTCCTGACTTGTGGTTTGGTAGAGAAGGGAAAACCTAACTGAGCATTCAGGGATGTGATAGCCCACTGCTCCACTTTTGGAGTATGGTAAGGGTACACACTGAGAGCCAATAGGAGGGAGATGAGGATTCCACTCCCAGGGCCAGTATTTTTCCTCTTGGGATAAGCCCTGTTCAGTTCTGATAGTTCTGAATTGGGGGGAGTATCAGAGCCAAAGAGTGATTAAAGATCATTTCAAGTACTTTGGAATTCTTACTTTAGCTTAATCAGTTTTTGTAACTAGCATTTGTATTTTGTGTGTGTGTGTGTGTGTATGGTGTATGTGTGTATGTGTTTTATTTTTGTTTTTGTTTTTTGAGGTAGGGTCTCACTTTTTACTTCAGGCTGGCCCTGAACTCACTATATAGTAGGCTGGCTTAAAACTCATGGAGATACTTCTGAGATTACAGATGTGCGCCACCATGCCCAGTTATTGTGTGTTACTGATATCTTGATATGTCACTTTTTTTCTTCAGTGTGAATCTAAAGAAAGGACATTACTTCCTGATCACAGTGCCATTATCACCACCAAAAAGGGAACAGTTCCTTTAATCTAGTACCTACAGTTAACTTTCTACCCAGATGGTGTGTTGATGCTTTGGTAGTTCCTTTTTGGGTCAAATGAGGAAGGTAAAAGACCAGTTCCCTTTTGGTTAGCACTTTGATTTCCTTTTTTTAGTTTATGTTATACCCTGTGACCTAGGAGGAGGTAGAAAAATAATAAAAGTTGAAGTTCTTTTCCTTATATTTGATACTTTGAAAACTATATCCCTTGATGTGTACTCTGATTCCAGGGAAAATTTGAGTGAGTTAGAAGATTGCTTTTCAAGGCTGGACATTTTTCTAAAAGCCCATGTATTCCCTTTATATTACTCATCAAAATAAGATTATTTTACCTCCATTATTGGCTACTCTGGATTAACAATACTCAGTGTTTGTATGGGAATAAAAAATGAACACCGTGGTGGTTAAGTCTTTTGGAGATAAATTTGGCAAATGGATCAATAAAATTAAAAAGACACAGACCCTTTGACCTACCTATTCTATTGGAAATTTCACTTAGTAGAGTAATTGGACAGATGTTCAAAGATGAGTGTAAAGCAGTACTGAGTATTATAAACTTGTCAGTTCTGCTGAAATTAATCTGTAAATTTGGCATTGTTTATTATATGAAAAACCTAGTTACCATCTAAAAAGGAAAAAGAATTGCATCGGTCTAGTTGAAAGTTTGGAAGAGTACACAATAAAGTGGTGATCTGTGTGGGTCTTTATGGGAACATCGCTAGCCTGGGGATGGAACTGCAGTTTACAGAGTTCGGATCCCTCTGTGTTTGCTCAGCATCACTGTAAGGGTGGGCAAATATCAACAGTTCCTGTAGTTTCTAGTGACCCACACAACCAAAAATCACTTCTAGTTTCCTCTGGTAAGAACTAGGGCTCCTTTAAAAACTGAATTGTAAGAGGGGAGCAAGAAATATGAGATGAACCTAGACGATTTTGTCATCACGGAAAACAAAACAAAATGCTACTAAGGAGTACTGAACTTAAGTCAAAAGGACACATGTGCTGAGAGTAAGTTAGCACTTAGTGGCTCACCTAGTGGCTAGATGTGGGGCAATTTGAACATCAGCAAGTAGCTTTTTTACCTTTCCGTGATGTAATTAATGATCAGCAACAGAATAGCTTGTTTTGGGTTTTTATTTTTTTACTCACAGTACTTGCTTAATCAGGGTTTTTGTTTTTTTGTTTTTGTGTATGTGTGAAGCGGGGATGGAGCCTGAAGCCTTGTGTATGCTAGGCAAACACCCTGCCACTGAGCTACAACCCTAGACCCGTTTTTCAAGATTTATTTCTAAGAAATCATTTAAAATTGTCTATTCTTAGTTTTAAAAAAATGTTTAAACTTCAGTAGTTTTTTCATGAACTTTAAATTTAAAATATTTTTTCAGAAGATAGAATAAATTTCAACAAAAAATATTTTTTTCCAGGATGAAGTTCCTGATGGAATAAAGTCAGCAAGTTACAAGGTATGTATGTATGTATTCTTACTGATGTTTCCAATATATTAATGAAAACCTTGAAAAACCCATTTCCCTTGCCATATACTACTCTGTTTCTGTTTCCCTTTACAGTGTTATCTCTTGAAAGCTATTCAGTGGCTCTAATTTCTTTTTGTTTTTGTTTTAACTTTCTGTTATAGAAAGTATCAAAAATAAAAGTAGAAGAAAAATACCAAAAATATGTACTTGTTATCCAGCAGTTATTTACTCTGTGTTTTGAATTACTTTAGCTGTACCTCCTATTTCATTTTTCCAAGTATTTTAAAGCAAATTTCAAATCTTTTATTTTAAACCCAACTCACATACAAAAAGATATTTTTAAAAAGATATTTAAACATTTTTTTAAAAGATTTTTTTTGCAATAAATAAAACTTTTATTCAGTTAACTGCAGTGCAGGGCACAATTCAGGTTAAAAAAAAAAAAGAAAAATGAAAGGAAAAAAAATATTTTCAGCACTTTATGTCTTTATCCAAGTTTTGCTGTTTTGTATCTATATTCATCCATTGCTCATGGAATCGCCTGTATTTGAAATCTTTTAGCAAAGTTAGAACAGCACAGAAGGTTCTTTACACAGGTCCAGGCTCTGGCTGTGTAAAACACAGGGTCAGTCAGCACCTGAGCCACCGCTCATGACACTGCCAGCTGCATCCATCCCAGTCCTCAGCAGGCAGGCAGGCAGACATGCAGGAGTTAGCAAGGGGCTCCACAGCCATAGGGCTCACCTGGCTGCACTTCAGCCTGGCTGCCTAGACTTCAGTGTGTGAAGAGAAAAAACCAGTAGCCACAGAGTCCAGTGTGTTTGTTTTGAAAGTCACCAAGACACACAAGACGAGAGCGTTTAGGAGGACCCAGGCCAGGACTGCCTGTCCCCTGGTGGGAGGCAACCCAGGCTGGCGCACCCTGCACCTGTGGCCGTTGGCCAGAGGTGGTCACAACTCCCTCACAAGGCTGATTAAACGATTTTCAAAAACCGTGTGGGGTGATGGTGGTCTCTGGAGGTCTTTGGAGTGTCCGTGAGTGGCCGGGGCAGTGCCTGCTCCTGACCCCCACCCCGCTAGCGCACTGCTTGAGGTGACGCCACTCCCGCTGCGGAGACACTGCGCTTGGCCCTATGCACACCTGTCCAGCAGTGTCACCAAGGAAAGAGGCATGGGGCCTGGCCTGGTGGGCCGTGTGGGCCCGGGCAGGGGCTGCAACCTCCCTCACAGGAGTGGCCAGCGTCCTCAGAAGGTGCCCCGGTTCTCCATGTGACCCTTGAGAGGGACCTGAGCTGCTTCCTTTCCTGTCCTAGAAGACACCGGGGTCAGAGTAGAATAACAGTATGTACACCAGAGTCCATGCATATCTATTTTTGTTTTTCAGGAAAAAAAGGTCCTTTTTCCTGTTTTTCATCCTTTTTTTTAAGATTTTTCTTTTTTTCTTCAAACTCTAGACCTGGCTCGAGGTGAGCCTTAGAAAAGGGGTGTGTGTCCCAAACATTGCAGGGCCGGGGCAGTGCCCAGAAGGCCCCACCTGGCACTTTCTGCTTGAGGCTGGGGACACATGGAAGACAGAGAGGGTCATGGCGCACAGGGAGCATCACCATGGACCCTGGGGTCACTAACCAAAAGGCGGGGTCTGCTAGGGAAGAAAACAACCCAAGAACAAACCAAGGAGAACTGAGAAGGGAAACGGGGAGGAGCTCTTCAGAGCAGCCGCCTCGGTCAGCATCCTCGCTGTGGACACCAGTGTGCCGCTGCCGCTGCTGCTGCTCACAGACAGTAGTCCTCCAGACCCTGGGAAAAGGCGGCGCGGCCACACACAGGACCTCTGCTTGAAGGTGCCAGCTGTCTGGCTGGGGAAGGCCCGCGAGGATGTGCCGTGGTCGGAGGTGGGGTGGCCAGGTCGTCCTTGTCCAAGAGGTTGCCTGTGCTGCTGCCTTGCCCTGCTGCGGGCTCATGTGCAGCGTGTCACTGCCCAGGACCTGGGTGTAGGAGAAAGGAAACCAACCCTCATCTTGGTGGTCTCACTCACCTAGTGTTAGCCATCGTCACAGGCCTCAGGCACTGGCAGGGTGATGAAGTCTCCTCCTAGAAACTTGGCAGGGTGCTATTGTCCCCAGCCGCGTGGAAGAAAATGGCCTTCACCTGCATGCAGCTATTGTGCTCCAGCCCAGCCGCTGTGGATCCTGTTCTCAGAGGGGGTGTAGCTGTTCTTCCGGGTCACACTCTTGCGCGCAGGTAGAGTGTTGGAATAGGAGTCGCTTGGCTTGCTCTGAGATCACCGGGGAGACAGGGATTTGGGCTGGGCAGCCTTGCAGTCAGTCCAGGGGTTGTAGTACTCGCTGTCCGGGCCTGCGACGCCATTCGTGATGGGCACGTTCTCCTGAGCAGACATCTGCTCCACAAACGGTGCCGGCTCGGGGGTCACTGGCTGGGGCTTGTCCCCAGGAATGGGGTCCGAGATGACCAGGTTGGACTTTGAAGCTGATGGGGAGCTGGGGAGGTGGAGCCATTGCTGCTGGCCAGCATGAGCTGAATGGCATGGTCTGGGATCTTGTCGGGGTCGGCACAGGTCTGCTGCCACAGCGCCAGCTTTTGGGCCAACAGCTCTTTGCCCTTGGGGTGGTAGGCAGCGGCTACCTTGGCCATGGTGCCCTGCTTCTCCACCAGGAAGCAGGACCTCACGCGCTCCTCAGTGAGTGCCGTCTTATAGCCATCCCACACGTAGTTCTCCAGCTCACCCTGCTTATTGCTGATGGTGTCCATGTACTGCAACTCCTTGTCTGAGTACTTCTGCGGGTTTTTGCTCCCCTGGCTTTCCTTGTGGAGCTTCTCCAGCTCAGCCTGGCCTTTGTCCATCATCTCCTTTGTTTCTCTGCTCTGCCTGGTATTTCTTCAGTGCAGCACTCAGGTACTGGGAGTCCAGCTCCACCTTCAGCTCCAGCTGGGTGAGCAGCTCTATTTGAGGACTTCAGCATCTCTTCCAGCTGATTCTGGATCTGCCATTGGACTTGGGCCATCTGGACGAGGACATCCCTGAGTTCCTTAGAGTCCTGGCTCTCACTGGCCAGCTCCCCTGTCTTCACCAGGGCATTGAAATAGCCTTTGGCAGTGAAGGTCACACCTGCTAGAGCTTTCTCATAGTTGTGAAGGCTGGGCTTGAACTGCTGCATGATATTCTTGTAGACATTTTCTCTGAGCCGGTGCACCTCCTCTGAGCGTGACAGCAACATGGTCTTGGGTCCTGGCTTCACCACAGACCAGAGCGGGGAGTGGGCATGGAGGCGGCAGCTGTGGCAGGAAGTAAAGATGGGGACCCAGACCACCAAGAAAAGATACTTAAAGAAAAAGAAGGTGGCCAGGGATTTAGCTCAGTAGTTCCATCACCTGCTTCGCAAGCACAAGGTCCCGAGTTGATTCCCAGTACCAAAAAGAAAGAAAAAGAACATGCGCATGGTCAGGGATTGTGTCTCTCTGGCTCTTCCATAAATACCTTAATAGTTTTTTTTTGGAAATAGGATTCAGATATATTTCATACATTGAATTTGGTTTACATGTCTCTTCTGTCTCCCTTTTAAAACAAACTTTAATTTTATAACAGTCTTAGATTTATAGGAAAATTGTGAAGAGGGTAGACTTCTCATGCACCTCATGCCCAGACTCTTCTGTAATGTCAGACAGGAGCATGGTGCGTTTTTGGGGTAGTGGTGTTGCTGGGGTTAGAAAACTGGACAATACCAGCGCTTAGTTGGGTCATAGAAAAGCAGGATAATGTACCCCGTGTTCATACCTCAGACATTTTTTCAGAACGACATTCTTTAATTGGTGAACGTAATACTAAGCTGTGTTTAACCAAGATAAGAAGCAAAACCTCAGCTTATTTTCTAGCTTCAAGGAGAATGTGAGAACTTTTAAAATTTTAGAGCCGTGGCGATAACTTCTCAATTCTGTGTTCTTCTAAGTTCTTTTTAACAGTTTTAAAATGTAAGGAGTGGTGTTCAATTTACTTTCATTTTCATTGTAGTATTCTGAAGAAGCCAATAATCTCATTGAGGAATGTGAGCAAGCTGAACGACTCGGTGCGGTGGATGAATCATTGAGGTATAGGGTTTTTTTTGCAGTACTTTGCTTCTTTCATGTCACGTGTGAACTGAAACAACAATAACACTGTTTTCTTCATTTGAAGTGAGGAAACGCAGAAGGCTGTGCTTCAGTGGACCAAGCATGATGACTCCTCAGACAACTTCTGTGAAGCTGATGGTATAGCATTTTTTAGTGTCCATTTGGTTTGAAATCATACTTAAGAAAAAAATTATATTAAAATTATTTTAAAAGCTCAGTTTCTAACAGTTTACCAGTTCCTCAGAAAGTTAAACTTTGAATTATCCTGTGACCTAACAGTTCCATTCCTTGGTATATAGACAAAAGAACTGAAAATGGAGACTGAGATATAGATAAACCCATGTTCCTTGCAGTCTCATTCACAGTATTCAAAAGGCAGAAACAATTCAAGTATCCATCACCACCTGGATGGATAAGCTAATGTGCTGAATGCATATACCCATAGTGGACTACTACTGAGCCATAAACAGGAATGCAATTCTGACCTCTGCTACTACATGGCGAACCTTAAAAACATGCTAAATGAAATAAGCCAACCACAAAAGGACGCGTATTTTATGAGCCCACCTCTCTGAAATACCTGGAATAGGTAACTTTATAAGAGACAGAATGTTAGACAGATTAAATGTATCAGAAGTTGTAGGAGTATGTGTGTGTCGGGGTGTGGGGGGGATGTTATTGTCCGTAATTAAGAAAGTTTCAGGTTGCGATGGTGGGAAAGTTCTGGAACAGAAGGTGATAGTCATACGATATTATGCCACTTAATTGTGTACTTAAATACGTTTGAACTGGTAAATTTTGTTTTATGTATTTTATCATCATAACAATTTGCAAAGAAAACTCAATTTCTTAAGGAAAATTCATCTTTTAAGTTTTGTAGTTCTGTGTATCTGGTGTACATAACTTTTGTAATAGATGCATACATGTGGTATAGGTGGCTAAAATGTAGGGTTACTAAAAACTGCTCCTTGGATTGCTGATGGCCTGTGTGGCTTTTGGGGAAGAGAATATCGAACCATGAAGCCATACATATCTGGAACATTGAAAGCTAAGCAGTAGTGTTGGTGCTGTTAAAATCTAAAAGCCTTAGCATGCATTACAACTCTTTGATCAAGATTTATGGATTCTCCCATTCTTTTTTTGATATATTCTCTTTTCTAAGTTTTCTTATATTAGCCTTTTAATTGGCTAAACAAAATTAAATCAAATTGAATTTAGCGTCTATGGCTTCTTGGTAATGGATTAATGATCTTTTAAAAAATTACTATAAAGAATGATACAGATCGGGCTGGGGATTTGGATTTAGTTCAGTGGTGCTGCCACCTGCCTTGAAAGTGCAAGGACCCACTCCCCAAGTTTGATCCCTAGTGCCAAAAAAGAATGATGCTGATCGTTTTGATTACAAGTAAAGGATGAAGCCTGAAATCCCTGTAAAAGAAGGAAAAGGGAAATGCTTGTTTTAAATTTTGTGACCAGTTTTTGGAATTGGTCACACCCTTGCCCACTAGGCTAGTATCGAACTCCTGCTCAAGGAATCGTTGGGTCTCAGCCTTGTGAGTAGCTGGCCTTGCCCAGTTGTGCCTTCTTTTTGAAAACGAAAAAGAGATTTCCTTAATAGGAAACATGACATTGTTTTGCATATACATGTCTATAATGCCAAATTTTTATTCTTATAATTGGAAGACTCTGAAAACACATTTTTTTCCCCAGGACCTTGTGCTTGTGAAGCAGACACTGCGCTAAATAAATCCCTGGCTCCTGAAAATGTATTATTTCCCCACCTAAGTGTAACATAAACTAATTTATTGTATTCAGGAGTTTTGCAACAGAAATAATCTGTTTCTTTTTCGCTGGGGAAGGGAGAAGGGCTTGCTGGGCCTCACACGTGGGGCCTTGTGAATGCTAGCTGAGTGCTCTGCGTACAGGCCCAGCCAGCTCCATGGTCTTACTTTAAATGACTGATGCTAACTATTATTGTTACCTAGAAACCATGCTTCAGTTTCAGGCATCCTAAACAAAGATTTCACCCTTTACACTAGCTGGTAACTTTCTTTCTGAGCTACACCCGCAGCCCTATGATTACACATTGCTGCCCAGTCCCTGCCGGGATAGTACTAATATATGTCCTGTGTTATTTTTGTAAAATCAAAGTTCTCTATTCCAAAACACATTTGAGCTCAGTGTGTTGAATGAGACACATCCCAAGATTTAGACTATTTTAGGAAGGGGATAAAAGATGCTCCAAATCTCTTATTTCACCATCGTTGGCCTTAAACATTGTTGTATGTGATAAAACTAATTTTCATGTACAGCAAATATTTTTAGGCTTGCAGTGTTAGAAAAAAAATGGTAGTAGCTTCATTTCTATTACTGCAGTTTCATTTTGAGACTGCAACGTGTAGCATGGAGAATCAACAGCTGACCTCGTATATGGGGTAGAGTTTGGTGAAGCACTTCCCATGTGCATTTATTTTACTGGTCAAACGGGATGAGTGTTTTTCAAAAGGGCAGCATGATAGGGAATAAATAATTTACATAAATGATAGGTGAAGTAAAAAAGATATTTTGTAAATTTTGATTAGGGATATTCTCTTTCTCTTTCATCTATGCTGGGGATCAAACCCAGGCCTCACATGTGGGAGGCAGGGGCTGTAACACTGAGCCATACCCCCAGCCCCTCTGGAAAGATTCACTGTGCTCAGATTTTTATCAACTTTGGTTGTTCTTGGGTCATCTTGGCTCCTTCCTCATTATTTGCTGGTTCATATTATAAAAGTTTATAGTTGAGTAGAAGATTGCTGCACTATTAAATAATTTCCCAGAGCCACTGGAGGACTAGGGCTCTTATCCTTGAAGTTATAACATACAGTGTTATAAATTATGAATAGGTAGCAGGACCTGGGTCCCAACCCAAGCACTCTGACTCCAGAGCCTGTGCTTTTAACTGCTCTGCTATGTTGGGCATTTAAGTTGCTTTCAGCTTTTCCTTTAATAAATAATTTTAATAGAAAATCATTCTGCACATAACTTTTGCATTTTAGTATTATATTTTTAGGAAAGCTGGGTAGGGGATCCTGATGGTTAACACGTAACAATCAGGGGGCTGGCGATTTTAGCTCAGTGGCACCGGGCTTGCTTGATAAGTGTGATGTCCTGAGTTTGATCCCTGGTACCACCCCCCAAAAAAGTATTTGGAAACAAGTATTATATGGCAGTAATACTCTATTTACTGATGAACTGCTACAGTTAATGTGAGACAAAATGCGTATTTATTGGCTGGTTGGATTATGAGAATGGAGTTACATATGTCTTGATTTCTAAAATTCATACATACACAGGGCAAAATGGCACATGCCTTTCTGGGATTACATATTTGAGCCCAGGCTAGGCAATTAAGCAATTTAGTGAGACTTGGTCTGAAAAAATAAAGGATTGTGGATGTAGCTCAATGTGGTCCAGTCCCCAGTTTTAAAAAAAAAATCACAATATTTTTCTACCATTTCTTTAAACTAAGATGTTTTTGTAACCAATGTGTACAGTTAAGGTAGCCACTTTATTTTTCATCTTTTTCTTTCACTTGAAAAATTTGTATATCCCTGATAGAAGCCTTGAAATCAAGGCTTGTATACTAATTTTTTTTTTTTTTCTGTGTGGGATTGAATCCAGGACTTGCTTGTATTCTACCACTGAGCTACATCCCTAGCTTTACATTTTTTATTTTGAGAGTCTCACTAAATTGTCCAGGCCAGCCTCAAACTTGAGATCTTCCTGCCTCAGCATCTTGAATAGGTGGGATTACAGATGTACAATGCCATGCCAGTATAGTCGCTTTTAGAGATAATTAAAGATAAAAAGATGTAATAAAACATTTTATTTTACAGACATACAGTCCCCTGATGCTGAATATGTAGATTTGCTCCTTAATCCTGAGCGCTACACAGGTTACAAGGGCCCAGATGCATGGAAAATATGGAATGTCATCTACGAAGAAAACTGTTTTAAGTATGTGTCATTTTCACTTGAACTTCTTGTAAGATGTGATTTCTTTTTATAAACAAATAAGCAAAGTCATAATGATGTAAAACTAATCTTTTTTGAAGATACTTAGAATAGTATCAGATGTTTATGAGAGTATCCTGGGTACTTAATGAATGTTCCTGAGTAGATTCTAGAATCTCATTTTGTGGCTGAAGTAACCTAAATCCAGGGAAATTTGCTTCACTTGCCAGGTCAGACAGTTAATGGCAGAGCATGGATTAGAATACACAACTCTTTCTCTTTTTGGTGCAGTGCACTGTCCTTTCTGTGGCTGTCATTATTTCAGCCTGCCCTAAAGTTAAATTGGTTTCAGAGAGCAATTTTAAAAAGGTAACGTTTTTTAGCACTGACTGTATGCCAGCCATTGTGTTCTGTATATTACATGCATTTCCTCCTGTAGTTCTTATAGGACCTGGGTAGGGTCATCACTGTTTTACAGATGGAAAATCTGAGCCTTGGAGAAGTTAAGTCATTCCATTCGTGAAAATCTAGGAAGTGGAAAGGCCCGCTTTGTACTCCTGACCCCTCGTGGAAGCAGTCAGGTTGGTCACCTGGTGACTGAGGAATGCTTCGGGTTATTCACTTAGAAGCCTGAGGTTCTCAACTAGGCTAATTGGTTTTTCGAGAAAATTTCTGTGTGTGTCTGTGTGTGTGTGAAGGGGGATGTGTGTACACGTAGTGCTGTCTCAGAGATTAACGGCAATTCTAGAAAAATCTTTGGAGTTCCCAAGTATGTGGATAATTTAATTTTTTTCCTCTCTCTCTCATTTTGACTTGAAGAATTTCTTGTTTGAAAAGTGAAAACTTTTTATTATTAACTAATTTCTGCCATGCATTTTATTTAAATTCTCTTGAATACTATTAGAAATGTTTGGCTTGATGACCTAAAAGTTTATTTTAAAGAATTCTTTTTGTTGTTGTCTTTAGTTAAAAATTAAAGTTTAAATTTAAATTTAAATTTAGTTAAAATTAAGTTTATAAATCATTTGTTAGATTTGTATTAGTTTTATAGTTATTTTCTAATTCATATTCTGATTCACATATTGATGATAATGTTATATAATCACTAAATTATATTTACTGTGCTAAAATATAGCTTATTTTTTTTCTTGAAATCTCAAGTTGTATATTTTTTGTTGTTTGTTTGTTTGTTTTTTTTGGTACCGGGGATTGAACTCGGGTCTTTGCGCTGCAAGGCAGGCCACCGAACCGCTGAGCTAAATCCCCAGCCCAAGTTGTATACATTTTTAAAATTTAAATTATGACATTAAAATAATCCCTATAGTTTATTAATGATACTAATGCCTTTTTTTTTAAATTTAAAGGCACTTTAATGACATATTAATTTAAAAAAATAACATATCGGGCTTGGGATTTAGCTCAGTGGTTCCGGAGCCTGCCTCGCAAGCACGATGCCTGGTACCACCAAAAAAAAAAAAAAAAAAATCTTCAGAAAACTTCTGGCTGTTTTTTCCTAGTATAAAAACCTTTTATTCAAGCCATAACAAATTTGATGGCCACAGGGCCAACTGATGTGTTTAAGATTACCTTAACGGACCCTGCCGCAAGCCAGATGCCTGGTCCCCCAAAAAAAAAAAAAAAAAAAATCTTCAGAAAACTTCTGGCTGTTTTTTCCTAGTATAAAAACCTTTTATTCAAGCCATAACAAATTTGATGGCCACAGGGCCAACTGATGTGTTTAAGATTACCTTACTGTAAAATAATCTGCTGGTAGTTTTTTCACTGCTGAGTTTTAATGCTTATATTGGAATGTTTATATTTTTGACTTTCAGTAAGGGGTATACTTTGTGGTGTGCACACAGACATATTAATAATTATATAAAAACATGTTTATTCAAGCCATAACAAATTTGATGGCCACAGGGCCAACTGATGTGTTTAAGATTACCTTACTGTAAAATAATCTGCTGGTAGTTTTTTCACTGCTGAGTTTTAATGCTTATATTGGAATGTTTATATTTTTGACTTTCAGTAAGGGGTATACTTTGTGGTGTGCACACAGACATATTAATAATTATATAAAAACATGTTAATGAGTAGTGGAGAAGAGCTGGACTGGTGTTTTTTCTTCTTTTGTTTGAAGGAGTGATTAGGAAGAGACTTGCTGGCTGCTTTCATGGGGAAAGATCAGGCGCTATTATCACTAAGACAATAGCCAATAAATTCTGATGGTATTAGAAAAAATTAAATATTTCATAGCCCCAGTGAAACCGTTTGACTTGAATATAGTCATTAAATATCTTCCTAAGATAATATCACCTTGCGTAAATAATAATAACATGACTGGTAACATACTTATGTTTTATACAATACTTTTAATTCTTTTGTTTCTAGGCCACAGACAATTAAAAGGCCTTTAAATCCTCTGGCTTCTGGTCAAGGTGAGTTCCTTGTTTGCATTGTTATATCATTTATCAGCCTGTGAACTTTGATTAGAAGGAAAGGTAAGGCAAGAAAATGGCAGGTGGTGCAGCCACGGTCCTGTGTCCATAGTCTGGCCTCACTCTGCAGAGCTGTAACTGTATTTCAGTGAGGAGTGTTTCTGTACTGAAGTTCATGGTAAACAGACTAGCATAAGATGAAGATTAGGATATATACTTACTTCACTAATTTTAGTTTTTACTCATTTTCTAGATAACCGAATATTCAGAAAACACAGAATTTCCCCAGAACTTGATAATATACTTAGATGCTCTATATTGAGAGTGTGAGTTTAAATTTACATATATCTTTATATCTCATTATCATTTTTCATTTCTCCCCTCAAGGTCTGGCCCAAATGCTGCCTTTTCTGTAAAACTTTCCTGGTCCTCATAAAGTTACCTTATACATATGCTTTTTATTCTCACTAAGCCTTCTTTTTGCTGGGTTTTATTATTGTCGCTTATATACCTACACCATTTGCTCGGCCCTAGGATGCTGGGCATACTGGGCAGCATTTATCTGTTCCATCCCTTTCTGTAGAGCCCGATACATAATATATGGAGAAGTCTTTTAGGTAAACTGTCAGTGTTTGCTGTCCTCATTGAATGGTCTTGTCTAAAACAGTGAAAGTCATGTGTTCTTTCCACAAACGATTATTCATCATGTACCCATGCTAGGCACTGTGTAGGTGGCAGAGTGTGCAGCTGAAACCCTCAAACCCTGCCTACTCACTAAAAGGCAGAATGATCTGTTGAAGAGGCTCATTCAGTGATGATCTGACTTGTTCAGTAGAACATACGTATCCATGTTCTCTTGCTCTATTTATTATTAATTAATTAATTTATTTATTTATTTTGGTACCGGGCATTGAACTCGGGTCCTTGTATTTGCAAGGCAGGTGGTATAGCCACTGAGCTAAATCCCCAGCCTATAAAATTTATTTTATTTTATTTAAATTCATTAATTTCATTGGTACATTTTAGATACACAGTATGATGACATTCGTCATTTGGAATTTGAGCTATTACATGAAATATCTTAGTCTGTGCTCTCTTTGACTATGTGCTTACTGATAAAATCTTTGATGTACTTTTAGCAAATGTGTAAAGTTATAATTTTTAAAATGTATTTGAAAAGATGCTGATCTCATACAGTCAATAAATATAAATTTTCTTCTTTAAGCCAGTGAGGTCTCATAATTCTCTAAATGTTGACTGACTTAGATCAGGAAAGGCTCTTAAGCAGGGCTTTTGGGATTTGCACAGAGTCACATATACAGTGACAAAGTAGAAGCTATTGATTTACTATCAGATGAAATTCAAGTTCATAGATGAATAGCAGTCTTTACTATGAACTCACATTATACTTTGATACATTAACAACCCTCACTTACATTAAAGATAAATGGGAGCTGGGTGTGATAGCTCATGCCCAGCACTCTGGGGATACTAGCATTCTGGGAAGCCGAGGCAGGAGGATCACAGGCTTGAGCCCAACCTGGGCAACTTGCTGAGACCTTGTCTCAAAATAAAAAGCAAAGAAAGCCCAGTACAAAGCCCAGTACCACAAGGAGAAGAAAATAAAAATAAATGATGATAATTTAAATGCTTATGATTAAGAAACTGGTTAAGTGATTTAAATAAAGTCATTGTACAATACAGCCATAATAAATGTTGCCATGAATTTGTTTTCATTCAAATAAAAAAGTTGATCGCACTCAGTAGCACATTGAGGCAAAGAAGGCAGAATCAAAACAATATGTATGTGGGCCGGGGATTTAGCTCAGTGGCACCTCACCTGCCTTGCAAGTGCAATGTCCTGAGTTAGATCCCCAGTACCAAAAAAAGAAGAACAAAAAAATATATCTGTATGATACATTTTTATAAAAACATTATTAATATAACCTAAATAGCTATACACAAAGAAAAAGAGCATTTAACAAAATATAAGTGATATTTATCTTGGGGAAGGGAGTTATGGATAACTATCTTTTTTATAAACATCTGTAGTGAATAATATATATTTAATAATGATAGCATTAATGAAAGATGAACAAAATGAAGATAATCTTTCAATTATAAATAAGCGTCCACATACAAATTGTTGTTTTATCTATTTATCTGTAATTTGAATTTTATCATCTTTGAAAATATTCCTAAGGTTAAATCTTATGTCAGTCTAGAGCTTTCAGTGCAATAATAGAAATATTTAATGGAAATTACTTTGTAGCTTGAGGACAGTAACTGTGGAAAAAGTCTCTGGCAGCCAAGTAAACATACGTCCTTAAGATATTTAAGAGTACTCTCAGGTGCTGGACTGGCCTCCTCCCTTCCATCAGCCTATATTAAAGCTGGGGAGCTGAAGCTCCTGGTGCACGCGCCTAGAGATGGGTCAGGCACCCAGGCGGATTCCTGTCCCTGCTAGACACAGTTGCAGTCCTGGGCATTTCAGGTGCAGAAAATGACTCATGCTTAGAAAGTCTTATTCTTTGAAAGTGTAGCGTTATAAAAGGCACACATAGAAGAAGTGTGTAATAATAAATGTTTTGTTCTATTTTTCAGGAAAAAGCAAAGGTAAGTATAACTTCTTTTTCTTACGTTACACACATGGATTTGCTTATATATTAGGATATTTATTTTAAAGAAAATCTCATTTTTCTTCCCAGTGCTGAGACCCAGAACTAATTTTTATTTCTTTATAATTCTGGAGGCAGTAGCACTGGTTAAGAGAAAATGGCTGTATCCAGGCCCTTTTTAATGAACATTCTAGCATTTTGGTTTGGTTTATGATCTTTTTATGTATTTAGGGTAGATTCCTCTGTCATATTTGCAACATGAATTTTACCCAGTTTGGCATTTGCGTTTGGCTTTTGTATATACTTTTCTTATAAACAAATGTTTTAAATTTTTATATAGTCCAATTTATTGCTTATTCCCTTTGTCTTTGCTTGTATTATTTGTATGCTTGGTTGAGATTTATTTTTAATATCACCGTAAACAACTGCAGTAAAAAATAACCCTGTATAATGCAGTACTTATTATCTCTGTAGCAAATGTATACATAAATCTTTCCATAGTTATAATGATTTATTACATATTTTTATATATTTCAAACAAATCATTCTCATGTACATATAGTATTGTTATTTTCTAAATTCTTATTTTCATAGTTGTGTTATTTTACCATTTTAACTAGTTACATTGTATTCTATCATACTTGGACATTATTGTACATTTTTATTATTCAGGGTTTTAAAACTTGTAACATAATCATCTTTCTGCAAATTTCTTGTCCTCTACATTTTAAATTATTTCTTTAAAGCATAATCTTAAAAACAACTTTCTAAAACTATTAAAAGTGATCTCATTAGGTCATAGAATGTAATAGGTAATTGATTTCTGTAACATTTCTATAAATTATTTTTTTGAAATAGTGACTGGTATGGAATACTACCCACTCTGTAGAAGTAATACACCTCCAATGCTATTTTATAATTTTTATTCATTTTTCCGATTTAAAAAGCAGAGCCCTTAATTTATAATGAGTCCTTAATTTTCATAGCATCAGTTACTATCTAAGCTAGATATTTTCCCATTTTTGATTGCTTTGCCATTTAAATCCTGTATTTTGGCATCATATAAAACACTCTATCCAAGCTGGGTGTGGTGGCACATGCCTGTAATCCCAGCACTTGGGAGGCTGAGGCAGGAGGATAACTGTGAGTTCGAGACCAGTCTGGCCACATAGTGAGTTCCAGGTCAGTCTCAACTATGTAGTGAGACCCTGTCTCAACACCCCCGCCCCCCAAAAAAAACCCACTGTATCCAGAAAATGATGAGACTGTGGCTGCCTAAAGTGATGCTAAAGCCTTTTCAGGTCTGAGCAGCAGATTGGTACGTGCTGAACCCCCACCATTTCTTGCTTCCTCCTTTGAAGGAAGAGACAAGTAAGATTTTAAAAGAATAGTCTTTTAAAACACTGCCACAAAATTTCTATAATGTAGCTTAACACTGGAAAAACTTGTCTCTTGGCATTTTTATAAACTTGTGACTTACTTTTCCTTTAATTTCAGAGAACACATTTTACAGTTGGCTAGAAGGTAATTAGAAATGTTTCAAAACTTTCAATTTAGAAAATTTTTAAAAATAAAATTAATCTAAGATTTACGTATGAAATTTTATTTCTAAATCACTGACTCTTTTTAGGCCTCTGTGTAGAAAAGAGAGCATTCTACAGACTTATATCTGGCTTACATGCAAGCATTAATGTGCATTTGAGTGCGAGGTATCTTTTACAAGGTAGGTGATGTTTACTTTTATTTGCCTTTTCACACTTATTTTCAGGCATTCTTAAATTCTTCATGGTATTTATCTGAATGGGAAAAGACAGAGCGGCCTGAATAGAGGATATTAAAAATCTCTTCTTAAATGGTGGTAGTCAGGCATATGGGAACTGTTGCTACAGTTGAATAGCTCTGATTATCAATTCCTTACCTTCTTTTAAGAAACTGCTTAAAATCACACTTTGGAAATACTGTTTTCTTTTGTCGTGGGAATTAAACTAGCTCCTAACAGCAGTTTATTATTTGTTAGATGTGACAACAGAGCCTTTTTATGGGCCAGCTCTAATGGGTAAAGCATTTTCCCTGTTCTTTATGGTTCAGGGACACTGTTGATAAATGAGACCATGATTCATTTTGTCTGTAACATCTTCTGGGAATTAGAGGGTTTTACCTCTCGGAAACAAAATAGTGACTATGACTTGAAGTAATCCTTCAAACTGTTAATAATTTCAGATAGTGATTTTTCAATTACATATTTTGATTTTATGAATATGTTTATAATTCAGAAATGTGATTTTTATTAGAATTACTTTCTCATTAAAACATTGAATTCATTTTTAAGGCTGGGTTTTAGAAGATAAAATCTTAATATGGAATTTTTAAGGGGTAAATTATAAAGACCAGTTTTCTTTGGTATGTATATAAATGCAAAATGAAATCAACATCTGCAAGTATAAGTAACTTAATACAATTAAAGTGAAAGTTATTTAAGTAAAATTCAGTTTTTAGTATTTTTCTCTTCCCAGATACCTGGCTAGAAACGAAGTGGGGACATAACATTACGGAATTTCAGCAGCGGTTTGATGCAATTCTGACTGAAGGAGAGGGCCCACGAAGGCTTAAGAACTTGTATTTCCTCTACTTAATTGAATTAAGGGCTTTATCTAAAGTGTTACCATTCTTTGAGCGCCCAGATTTTCAGCTCTTCACTGGAAATAAAATTCAGGATGAAGAAAACAAAATGTTACTTCTGGAAATTCTTCGTGAAATCAAGTAAGTTATATTGCACTTTACACATCAATAGAGAAGTGACAAGTGGTATTTAAGATTAAATTCTTAAATATTTATATGGAGAAAGGAAAACTATTTTATTTGTTTTATTTTTTAATTTTTTGGTACTGGGGATTAAACTCGGGTCCCTGCGCTTGCAAGGCAGGCCACCGAACTGCTGAGCTAAATCCCTGGCCCTAAGGAAAACTATTTGAAAAATAATCAAAAGCTAATTTTGCTCATGGCACTTTTAGAATTGAGTTGTGCTTTTATTTTGATCTGTATACCAAAATTGCAGATTTTTTAACTTTAAGAACAATATTTTTATTATGTGACGCTTGCATTATGTTTGCATCAAAGTGTTGTTTTTACTGTTTTCTGCTCTATTTGAATTACATTATTTATAATTGACAAGCAGAATATTATATTAGAAGGGACTTTAATATTTATAATGCACGAGAATAAATATTTTTTATTCTAAAATGCAGGTCATTTCCTTTGCATTTTGATGAGAATTCACTTTTTGCTGGGGATAAAAAAGAAGCCCAAAAACTAAAGGTAATTATTTTATACTTTAATTGTTACAGATAAACTGATTAACATATGCAGGTATGAATATAAATTCATGTATTACTCATAAAAGAAGAGAATAACATGATGTTTACCAGAAGCTGGGAAGGGGAATGGGGGAGGAAAAGAAGGTGTTAATCACAGGGTATTGAGTTGTAGTTAGAAGAATAATACATTAGTGTAATCTATTTCACAGAACGGTGACTATAATAAGTAATAATAAATTTTACATTTCAGAATTGCTGAGTCGGTTCTAAATGTTCTCACTACAAAAAAATAAGTATGTGAGGTATAGTGGATTTATCAGCTAGCCTGATCATTTCACATCGCAAACCTAATTTCAAAATACAACATTGTACCCCATAAACATAAAGAATTGTCAGTTTTAAAAATAAGCCCCTATATTTATACTTAATAGTAAATTTTGAGATACACACACACATATATGAAAACTTGGAGTTAGAGTTTTCCTTATAGGCAGGTCCAACTTAGGGTCTACTTTGTATTATGTTCAAAATAACAAGTAGGGGTCAGAGGTAGAGTTCAGAAGTAGAACATGAGCTTAGCACACTTGAGGCCCTGGGTTGCCCCCACCAAAAAAATCTCCAAAGCAAAACAAAAACCCTACAACATAAAATAATAAGCTGTGTATTTCTGTATCCTTTATAGATGGGATGGCTTTCACCTTGATGGTTTTATGTAATAAATAGGGTTTAAAAATTAAACAGAAGGACCCAGAACGTAAGTACTAGTATTAGCCTGTCTTTTTGCCGAAGAAAATTCTAAAAATGGTATTGGTTAAATTAAAAGATGGTGTTTAGGAGGAGCTGGCACTGTGTGACATTTTGTCAGCCAGCTTACGCACTGAGCATTAAAGGCAGGTCACAGTGCCAGCATGTGGCTGTGGGACGGACAGAACGAGGGGGCTGTGGTCATTGCCTTGCCTCTTAAAGGGGTATGACCTCAGGCCAGGCTGTGCTGAGTATGGATTTGCCACCAGATGCTACGAAGATAAAATCTTACTAGGAAGACTTATTAAATACTGTGTATGGAACATGATTTTTGACATTAAAGGGAGACACAGCTCCTACCCTCAGGGGATTTTCCAGACTATTTGGGAAGTGAAGTAAAATTATGTTTGTTTGTTTGTTTTTTTTTTGGTACCAGGGATTGAACTCGGGTCTTTGCGCTTGCAAGGCAGGCCACCAAACTGCTGAGCTAAATCCCCGGCCCAAAATTATGTTACTGTTGTCTTTACTAAGCTATTGGTAAGCAAAGGGAATAGGCCCTTAATACCACGGGGCTTGATCTGATTTCATTGGAATATTTATAACCAGCTTCCTCTGTTATTCTTGGTTTCTTTCCATGATGAAGAAACTTTTTATACATCTTGCAAAAGAAAGTGCTGTTAGATAATAGTTCTTGCTCTCCCATCTATCTCCTACTTAAAGCATTTTTGCTATAAAAACATACTCAGTGGTTATATAATCTCCCAAACAGTTTCCAGGAACTAGAAAGTGAGGGGGAAGATGCTTCAATAAGACTTATTTTTTGCCTACTATTTTCAGTATGTTCCTTATTTTAGTTTACTTGCTGGTTTATTGGAGAGTGTTTTAGCATCAGCCCTTTTCAGATTGTGCAAATTAGAAATATTTTTCACAATGTTTTAATTTGATCAAAACTCCCAAATGCTTAGCTTTCATGCGTGTGAAGTTTATGCAAAGTCCTTACCTAACAATTTTTTTGAATCCAATTTTAGACAAAAGAGGTTTAAAAAAAGCATGTGAACATCAGAGATTTCCTTCTTTTTCTAAAAGTACTTCGTGGTAAACATTGATTTGAACAGTTATATTTATGAACTCATTTTTTTAAAGTCTAATTGTGATTCCTTTCTACTCAGTATATGGTTAGAAATAGAGGATTTACCTAAAACAGAAATATTTAAATGTTCAATTTAAAATAGAATAGGGTCTCACTTGAAGACATACAAAAACATTTGATAATTTGGATGAGAATTGGTTAGTTGATTTCACTGAGTATAAATCACAGTGTACCACCACAGTACATTTCATTATTTTGCCAAAGAACTATAATTAAACATAATTAAAAAGCCAGGTGTGGTTACACACAGATTCTGTCTGTGCTACTCCAAAGGCCAAGGCAGAGGATTGCTCAAGTGCTGGAGTTTGAGGCTAACATGGGCAACTTGGCAGGACCCCATTTCTTTCTTTCTTTTTTTGTTTTTTTGGTACCGGGGATTGAACTCGGGTCCTTGCACTTGCAAGGCAGGCCACTGAACTGCTGAGCTAAATCCCCGGCCCCAGGACCCCATTTCTTTAAAACAGACAAAATAATGACCTAAAACTGTTTGCCCGTACAAAGAGGATTTATCATTCTGTTAGGTTCTGGTTATTTTGAGGATCCTAAATTTTTCTGAGATTTAATGAGGTTATTGACTATGATTGTTATTTATGGAAGCTGGGGAGATTTTCTCTGATTCTCATAATCTAACCTGTTAATTTGGTTCTAGCATGTTATGATCACCTAGGTAGAAGATGCATGCTATTTTATGTGCTTGTTTTTAATTTACCATTTTTATTGCATTATTGAAAGCATGTACAGACTTTCTGTGCATAGCATGTAAAGACAGACTCAAGAACTGCCACCTTCAAATAATTGAATTACTGTACATTCGAATACTGAATTTAGACAGTGTCTACAGAAGCAAGCATAATCTTCCAGAACACAGGCTTTTAGCCTTTACAAGTATTAGAGACTCCTAAAGTAAAAAACATAAAGCTTTTTTCCCATGAAAGTATATTTTTAGTATCTATTGATTGTGAAAGTATATAATTGCCCAAAAGCCACTATGCACTTAGTAATATTTTAAAGGAAAAGTTGTATTTTATTGCTCATAACATTTATATCCATTTGGAAATTGCAGAGCTGATGTGGGAAGTATTTATTCTCTCTATATATAATCTTATCTCATACATGCATTTTGTAGACTCTGACAATAGCTATTAAGTCTCCTGGAGTTCAGTAGCTTGTAGGATGAGGACATGTGCTTTAGAGCCATTTTGTTACTCTGTTGTTATTTGAAATGTGATTTTTCTTTAAGTCCAGGTCATAATACTAGTTTTAAGGGACACCTTAAATCATGAAATCCATCTAGAATAATAATGGGTAGTTTTTTGAATAGTAGGTTTCAAATTAGATTACCTCTTCCTGAAAAGGCACAAAGAATATTAAGAATATATGGAAACAACTCCAGACATACTCAGCCACCTCATCTTCGACAAAGGAGCCAAACACCCTCACTGGGGGAAAGAGCCCTCTTAATAAATGGTGCTGGAAGAATTGGGTTTTGACATGCTACAGATTAAAACTAGACTTACATCTCTCACTGTGCACTAAACTAAAATGGAACTAAACTTTCTGGAAGACAGGTTAGGTAAAACTCTTGAAGACACTGGCATAGGAAAAGATTTCATTAACAAAACCTCAGTTGCACATGAACTAACACAAAGGATCAACAAGTGTGATCTCATCTTATTAAAAAGGATCTGCACAGCAAGAGAAACCACCAACATAATGAAGAGACAACCCACAATGTATAAAAAAATTTTTACTAGCTGTTCCTCAGACTAAGGTCTACTATCTAGAATAAAGAATTTTTAAAAATCAGACCTCCCAAATTTAAAGACCCAATCCCAAAATGGGCACCTGAAATGAACAGACATTTGTCAGATCAAGAAGTAGAATCAGCAAATAAACATATGAAAAAATGTTCAGTACCACTGATCATTTGAGAAATGCAACACTAAGATTCCACCTTACCCCAGAAAGGATGGCTGCTATCATGAAATCAACCAATAACAAATGCTGGCGGGGCTGTGTGTTGGCGGGTAGGAACCCTTCTCCACTGTTGGTGGGAGTGTAGACTGGTGCAACCACTGTGGAAATCAGTGTGGAGATACCTCAAACACTAGGAATAGAGGTCCTCTTTGATCCAGCTATTCCCCTGCTGGGTGTTTTCCCAAAAGAAAAGCATCATACCCCAGTGATATATGCTCACCCCTGTTTATAGCAACATAGTTTGTAATAGCTAAATCTTGGAAACAGCCCAAATGCCCATGAGCTAGTGACTAGATAAAGAAGATGTGTATTTTAAAAAAATAAAATGGAGTACTACTTAGCCATAAAGAACAATAGAGATATTTATAGCTAAGTGGATGCACATTGAGGCCATACTCTTAAGTGAAATAAAGAGGACACAGATGTATAAATACCAAATAGTTTCTCTGGTGTGAGAAACTGAAAGGGTAATTGAGGATCATAGTGTATAATAGATAATGTGAAATTGGAAGAAAAGGTCCAAAGGGGAAGGGAAAGGGGAAATGGGGGTGGGGGGGTAGCAGAAAGAAAAAAATATGAGAAAAGGAAAAAAGAGAAACAAAGTCTTTGTAAATAGGGAGGGGTGGAGGGTTTGAAGAGAGGTCAGGGGAATGGGGAAAAAATAGGAACCAAGATATATCATATACAGGTACAAACTCCCAGTGATGACTGTCATGTTGTATACCTAAAATGTGCCAATAAACTTAATGAATAAAAAAGAATATATGAACTCTGGGTTGAACCCAGAGTATAGTTTAGCACATTTTTTGCTTTTCAAATTATAGGCCAAGTGAAATAATTGGTGCTATATCTGGAATGTTGGTTTTCTGCTTAGAATAGTGGGAGCTTAGGATTCCACTCTTAGGACCAGGATAGAATGAGTCCCTTGGAGGAGCAGCTAATAATTTCCACTGTAGTAAAAGAAGGTTGCATTCTTGGCTTCCCTTCTTTTTATTTTGTATTTCTTACTTTGCATGAGCTGGATTCATGTTACTCTGTTATAAGCAATACAATACCCCAGTATTGCTAGATACACGATTATGTAATAAATACATTAAAAACAAAGCAAACAAGAAACACCAGATTCAGCATAGCAGTGAGGATGGGATACTGAAATTTCGAAGGATACTTGGGGAACTTCAGTTGTACTTGGAATAGTTTCTTTCTAAAACTTGGTGGTGAGTAATGCGTGTTTAATATATTTTGAGTATTTTTGTGTTAATAAAAAGAAATCCAAGCCATAATTTAACTGTGGTGAAACCAAAGATCTCCTTCCTTCTTTTTCCCTTTTTCCCTTTTTGGTAAATGATGTCTTCTAACCCCTGTCCTGCCACGATCGACAATTAATAACTGCATACACGAGGGCCCATCAGCTAAGTTGCTTTTTATGTTTTGGCAGATAGATTAGCCTTGGACTCAGGCAGGCCTGGGTTCTAAGTTTGCTACTTACTCGATGGGAATTTAGATAAGGTACCTAATTTCTCTGAGTCTTGTTTTTAACCCATTAGGGATAGCTTATAATAATATTTACTTTTAAAAATTTGTGGTGATAATGAAATATGGTTGTACCTGTAAAGATTCTGGTGTGCAGGAGATGCTCAATGAATTTCAGTTCTTTTCTGTTTTTGGTACCACATAGTATCTTTCCCAGTGTTAAACACATAGAAGGCACTCAGAAAATACTTATTATATGTGCTACTGAAGTGAGCACTCAAAAAATACATATTAGATGACCACATATTATATCTTTTTTTTTTTTTTCTAGTATTGAGGATTGAATCCAGGGCCTGCACAAGCTAGGCAAGCACTCTACCACTGAGCTACGTACATCCCCAGACCTACATAGTACATCTTAATAACATTTTGTTAAATTGTCTTTAGGAGGACTTTCGGCTGCATTTTAGAAATATTTCAAGAATCATGGATTGTGTTGGTTGTTTTAAATGTCGACTGTGGGGAAAGCTTCAGGTAAGCAAGTGAAACTTGTTTTTCTCATTTACCCTTTGCATGAATTTTCCTAATTTTTTTTTCTTCTATTATAGACTCAAGGTTTGGGCACTGCTCTGAAGATCTTGTTTTCTGAGAAACTGATAGCAAATATGCCAGAAAGTGGACCCAGTTATGAATTCCATCTAACCAGACAAGAAATAGTATCACTATTTAATGCATTTGGAAGGTTAGTATAAATGTACTGAAATCGTTTCTGCTAGCTAAGTCCAATGCAACATTTATACTCTCAGATAAAGCTAGGTAAGGAACAGCCTTTTTAGTGCAATAATCTCCTTAGAAATGATCTTACAAAATACCTCAAGTATGTTTATACACAAAATCATTAGATGATTTTTAAATATTCATCTATTGACTTATTTCATAATTAAATTATAGATTGGTACTGATACTCACCTCACTGAATTGTCCATTTTTTCTAATTTTTAAAAGCAGTTTTTTGTGCTGTCCAATTTTTTTAAGTTCTTAGAAAAATCATGTTTAATATAGTTGCATATATGTTTCTCTATGAACTCACCATTATATGAAAGTATTAATATTTTAAAGATAATCATTTCTGGCCAGGCATGGTGGCACACGCCTATAATCCCAGCACTCGGGAGTCTGAGGCAGGAGGATCGCTGTGAGTTCGAGACCATCCTGGGCTCCATAGTGAGTTCCAGGTCAGTTTCAACTACATAGTGAGACCCTGTCTCAAAAAACCAAAAAAAAAAAAAAACCAAACCAAAATCATTTCCTGCAAAAATGATTGCAGGTGTGAAAAAGGAACATATGTCCAGAAATTTGATGGGTGTGGTGCGCATATCTGTAGTCCCAGATACTTGGGAGGCTGAGGAAGGAAGAGTGAAGGTTTGAGGTCAGCTGGGGCAGCTCAGTGTGTAGCTCGGCTCTGTGTGAGCCCACCCTGTATGGGGGGGGTGGTGAGAGGGGGGAATTTATTACAGATGTACTTCATTCTTGATTATCAATGTAAAGAATGCTGAGATTTCTAAAACCTTTTAAATATGTTTGTGGGGTTGGAGATTGAGCCTGGGGCCTTACGCATGCCAGGCAAGTGCTCTGCCTCTGAGCTGCACCCCAGGCTTCCACATTAACATTATTTTTAAGAATTGTGTTTCTTCATTTAAAAAAAGTATGATTTAGTGTTTTGGGCTTGAGATGACTGATCAGCCCAGTTACTTCCCTAGCACCCAAGAGCTTGACGGTTATGTTTTATTGCCTTTTCTGCTACTTCTTTTTGCTGGGAAGCACAGCTAAAGTGCACTTAAAATAATGGACACACCTCCAAATAACAAGGAAAAAACTTTACTTTTTATAAAGTTCAATGAGAATAATTTGGTCGCACAATCATTTACTGTTCTCACTTTATCAGACCAATAACTTTGATTCTTTGTACATTTACTAAATAATAGCATATTATTCTAAAGTATTTGTATGCTTGTGAATATTTGAAATGTGTTTCAATATTTCTGTATTTCTAGCATTTATATTATGGACTTAAATATTAAGCATATGAATATATTTATGAATACTCAAAATACCGTAGTATTTTAATACTTATATATTTATGTATTTTATACTACTCATACTTTAATTCTGAGTAAATGATTATGGTTATAAATAAAGTACATGCATTTTTCAATATCTACATGTATATATTTTAATACTTTTATAGTAAAAATAACTAATTTCTGGACAATATTATCTTTTACCAAATTAAATGAACAATTAAATTACATCAAAATAGATTAAATGGTTTACACACATTTCCATTTGTTGAAATAATTTTAAAATTTTCTGTGCTCTAAAAATGTAAAGTGAATAACTTCTACAGAAAAAATTTGTTTGAGATGGTTTTTGAGTGAAATATTTTTTGGTTTCAGAATTTCTACAAGTGTGAAAGAATTAGAAAACTTTAGGAACTTGTTACACAATATTCATTAAGGAAAACAATTTGAAATAAGCCTGTTTCTGGATGCTGGTGGCCAAAGAATGCAGTTTCGTTCAAAGGGTAATGTAATAGCAGTGACAGTCTTCAGCCAAACATTTTATATAAGCTGCTTTTGTAAAAGGAGAGTTATATTGTTGTAAGTAAACTTTTTAAAAATTGTCCCGTCTGTGTTTAATATTATTGTGAATAAAGTACTTTGATAATGTGGTACAAAATTTTAATATTGAATAAAAGCAGGATTATCAGATTCATATATGCTAAAACCATGTAAATGATGTTTTTAAGTCTCTCAAACTAGAGTTTTGTTTAAGAAGATGTAATAGGGCCAGGGATTTAGCTCAGTGGTTCCGCCACCTGCCTTGCAAGCACAAGGACCCAAGTTTGATCCCCGGTACCAAAAAAGAAATGTAATAAAAATAAGATGTGGCAAATGTGACAAATATTTAAAAGGAAAATACTAGGGAGGCTCATGAATGACTCATAATTAACAGCATAGATTTTTCAATACATATAGGGTTGTCAGATTTAGTGAGTAAAAATGCAGAATGCCCAGTTAGAATTGAATTTGAGATAAACAACTAGTTTGCTTTAAAATATATTACATGTGATATTTGGGACATACTTATACAATAAATTATTCATTATTTGTTTGAAATTCAAATTTAACTGAAGGTCCTGTGTTTTATCTGACAATCCTAAAGTACATTGGTATGAAAACCATCAGTTTTAGGGTTGAATTGCTATTTTGACTGGCTTGAGAACAACTTAAAGCATGGATTTGTAAGCATTGTGAAAAGTTGCATAGAATATATATTTATTCTCACAATACTTTCCCTAATATTGAATAAAACTTTGGGGAATCTTTTTATTTTTTATAATTTCAGATTTACAGAAAAGTTTCGAAAATAGCACCCACATTCACCAGCTGTTCAAACCTTTGCTTAATGTGTCATGCTGTCTTTATTCACACATTTTTTCCCTCAGTCATTTAAAAGTCAGCTACACGTATCATGCCCTTTTAACCCTAGATACTCTCTGTAATACTGAGTGATTTTCTAGAAATTTTTCTTAGAGAAAAATTCCTACAAATCTGTAACTAAAATTCTATAAATCTTAAAATAAGGAATCATTGGCAGTTCCAATCTAAAGTTCTTTTTGAGTTTTGTTGTTCCTTTTATGTTTGATTTATATAGTCATAGAATGAACAGTTTTTGTTTTTTTACATGAAGTTAATTTCTTTTGCCTCTCTAGAACTGAACTGAACTTTGGGAGGTTTTCATTAGTGGAAATTCTGATTACAGTTTTAAGAATACCACATGGTAATTATAGGGAAAAAAGGTATACCTCAAAATTATGTAACCCCTTTATATATGTCTTAGGTATAACATGTTGAGATATCACATTGTTAGTAAATCAGTGTTTATTTATGTAACTTTTTAGAACTGCCACTTTACACTGCTAAGTACTTTTTCTTCTGTGTCTCTAAGGCCTGCCTGGTACAGTGCCAAGCACATAGTTGGTATCCAGTCAATGTTGAATGAATGTAATATGTATTCAGTATATTTTAAATGAATAATTACAGAACTAAGTTTAACAATATGTATTCTATTTTCCTTTCCCCCTCATTTTGTCTGGATAGGGCAGGGAAAAAAGACATTAACTCACTAATGAAGTCAGTCCTCTTGGAGATTCTTAAGTGATTGGTGTATAACATTTCAAGGACATTGTACTCTGGAAATATGGTAGATGTGTTTAATTGGTATCTCGTGTATATACCAGCTGTCATGTGCCCCTGCTTAGCCGCCAGGCTTTCTGAAAGGGTGGTCTTACCTTTGCAACCTCCCACTTGCTCCTTAACTAAAAGCGGGCATAGTCCTATGTCCCTATCAGTCCTTTCCTGTGAAGTCTAAAATCCTAATTCTAAATCCACTTTTCAGTTCTCAAGCCATTTCTTATTTGACTTTTTTCCTGCCTAGTTTGATAAACCTTTCCTTAAAACAAAACAAAAAAACTCTTATTACCTTGATTCTTTATATTTTGCTTGCTCCTAGACTTTTTTTTTTTTTTTTTTTTTTTTTTTTTTTT